ATCTAACGGAAATATAAATGTATCTTCAACAGCAAAACGCAAGTTTCTACAACCCCATAATACTTTAGGTAGTCTAGAATATCGAAGAGTAATTGAGAATAGCTGTGTAATTGAGAAAAATGGCTGAATATTACTTTCAGATCATCTGAAGAGATGAAACTGTGGTGCCACGTTTTCAGGTTGACGAAGCTTACAGAAATAAAATTTTCAGTTTCATTGACCTTATTTTCAATTAACTTTTTTTTTGATTATTCTAAACTGTCGATACCGTTTTGTAAACATTTTTCATCAATTTTGAAGTGATTGATATTTGTTTATTGATTGTTTGTATTACCCGATTTTAATTTGATTCAAGTTCAGAAATACTTTAATAAATTTCTTTAGCACCCTATTCATTCAAATTACTACTTATAAATTTCACTTTATCAGTATTGTTCTGAATGCAAACGGGAGCGCATTCATATTTAAAGGTTCTATCCGGCTATGAAATAGTAGTTTAACTTTACTCTCATCATGAGACGTTGAAGATTCGGCATCGGAGGGTTTTCAAGAGATTTTTGGAGGTCAAGTTGAATATTCAACTTTAGCAGAGTTCCGTAGCTGATGAATCCATCGAAAAAATGATAAAATTTGAATGAGTGAAATTAGATATTTTTTCTGTTATGAACTCTCGAAAAGCAGATATTTCAGCACAAAACTGTTTTGTGATAGTTTAGAAAATTGAACTGATTGTAAAAGGCTCTTTGAATATATAATCTGCAAATGGATTCTCGGCTATTTCAGGGTTCAAAAAACTTTTCATTGCGTCGTTAATAATAATTGATTTTCTGAAAATTTTGATCATGGGAAGAAATTTGTTCAAAGATCTATCAAAGTTTTGTGTGTCTTATTTTCATATAAGAATCGTTTTGATCACCGTCATTTTATCATAATATGTAGGGTGATCAATGTGACATAATTCTTCAGTGATATATTGGGGCTGATTGAGATTTTTTTGTCCTATCATACTGGATTGTCGATTCGGTATTACGGTGGAGTGAGATACACTGCTCATAGATATTGGTTTTAGCTGATTGGATTGATTTTGACCGTTTGATCCCCAAACATTCGTAAAAGTTCTTGGATTGCCAAAAACTGCCGGTTCATGAAGAATATTTGAAGTCGGACCAGTCTTGGTTGAACATTTATTGCACAACGAGGTCTACATGAAGATGAATTGCGTGTTTGAGAAATTCGGTAATGAAAAGGTGGTTCTGATTCAGATGGTTAAATTTTTGAGGTGGTCCAGTATTTGGTGTGTCAAAATTTGGTTTTTTGTAAGTGTAGAATATTGTTTGTTCTAAGAAACAATGAACTATATTGCTTCTGGTAAGTTTGTAGGTTCCAATGCCCGAATAGTCGACCCTAAGGGCTTCTTCAGACTGGCTAGGAAAAGTTTAGAAGCATGGACATTATAGACATTTTCTTTACCAGTTCATTTTGTGCAACATTTTCATGGGTATAGTCATATTCATTACAAGAATTCATGGACAAATAACCATTTTCAGTCTGTATCAAATTTAGGCTTCCTAGTTACTTCAATATTACATAACACATTCTACTCATCAATCTTTATCTTTGATATTTACTCATTTGTTCCTGTCATTTTTATATACTTATTGTATTTACCTATACCGCATGCTTTTATTGGAACTTCAGGGTATGTTTGGGGACAGAGCCCCATACATAAGAACCAATACTCCAAAGAAGGTCTGATCTGAGCTTTAAAAAGCAGCAAAAGTTTCTGAGGCGTGTACAGTTTTCTGGTTCTGAACAGTGTTCCAAGCCTTTGAGAAGCAGCCTTTGCAATTCCAATATGTGCCAAGACATATTGGTGTCCATTTTAACCCCCAACGAACTTATTGAAGCAGAAAGCGGAATGACGAGACAAGTGTGCTGCCATCAGCAAAGCAATATATTGGATTCTTGTTTTCTTCAATAAGTCGTTGATATACAATTTTTGTTAAACCAAGGTTTGCTGTTAGAAGGTCGTTTCATCGAAAACAATCTGAAACAAACATCTAGGCATGGGAAATTTCCCAAAGTTTGCAGGGCTTAGATTGATCCCCAACATTTATCGGTAATTCAATCAACACTGAAATGAGTTTGTGATCAGAAGATCCCAATGGAAACCTTACGGTGACTATGCAATTTTCTGGATTGGTTGCCAGGTATAGATCCAGAAGACTAGCATATTCTCTATCACGGTCAGGAATCCTGGTATAGAATAGAAATTTCTTTGCAAGTCTGCGGAATTTTTGTTTATGACTTCTCCACTCGAGAGATCCTCTTGAAGGTTAGAAGGTTTTCAGTTCTTAGTTGTGTAAAAAATAACCAGGTCTATCCACAGTTACTGTATCTTTCGATGGGTATTCTCGACTTGGATCATTCAGAAAATGTTGACAAAGTTTAAAGTCAAACGATTAAATAGTATATTTTTAGGCCAAAAGTTGAATTGATATAGGTACTTTATCCTTTAAATGCAATTTAACACCTATCTTTAGGTTGGTTAAGTTTGGTTTTAAGTTTTTTAACTGAAATATCATAAGATCTCGTGCAAGAATGTATATATTTTTTAATTTTTTCATCACTGATGTCATCAGGGGCATGCATCACAAAATGCCATATTTTTTGCATACCTTTCCTGTATTTCCATAGAATTCATCGCTACCTTCTCCATTGCGTGTTCTGTATTTTTTCTTCCTTCTGTTTACTACCAGAAAATCTTCGTCGTTATAGTCAGTTTCGGAATCAATCTCAATTAATTATTTCTTTAAATTTTTCCTCTGTTTGGATTTCAAGTATTTTTGATATGTTTCTCATTGAGTTTTGGCTCATCCTCTCCTGTCTAAAGTAAATAGACGGTTTTTATTGGAATACATGATCTGTTGACTTGGTGTTTTTGTCGGGGAACTTTTTGCTTCATCATTTACCACTTTTTCATCTTGTTGGCGTTTTACAGCGGCTAGGTGCTTGTTTATATAGTTGCTTAGATAATTTTCTCTTTTAGCAATTCCATTTTTCCATTCAGCAGCATAATCAAATCTTCTTCATCCTTTATTATTGCATACTTATCCTGTCATTGTGATTTATTATCTTCTATGAGAAATTCGAAATCAGTAATTTGAATGAATGTCTGTCAATCGATCTCTCCAATATGGTGTTTACAATTTGTATTTTTTTGTTCGTTTGCTTGTTTTTTCAGCATCCAAGATGGAAGACCTCTTCATACTCAATGCACTTCACTTTACTAACTACTTTTATCAAACAGTGGCTGTACATAAGATTTTCATTTTCTTCGGATGATTGTGATGATGAACTTGTTAGTGGGGCCATTATCAGTGTTATTCTGCAGAACATGACCATAATACCAGACATGGGAACTTATTGGGAATTCCAAAACAGAAAAATACATTTTATAATGCATAAAAATAAACTACCAAAATCATTGAAACAAGTTGGAAGTTTCAAAATAAAGTGAAGCATTATAAGAAAAATATATTTGTAACTAACGTTACTGCAGTTTCGTCCTATAAGGACATTTTCAAACTTTTACATTAAACTAACAATGGTTGATTACATTAGCCTTTATATAGCACCCCTATAGGTAATAATAGAGGTACTTGGCTTGATTGAGCACCTGAATTTACAATTTACAATGCGGATATGCTAATTTGAAAACCGGTGAGTAAACTAAATCGATTTGATCATTTAACAGGTTGCACCCGCAATGTTTATGCTTGTGAATTTCCAAGAATTCTAAATAATTGAGTTTGTAACCCTTCCTGGCACAGTGTCAAATTTCCGTATCGTTTAGATTCGGGAACTTGTGGTTGCATGCTATATTCATTTTTGGTACAGATATGTAGACGATATTCTCGCCTGTTTCAGAGGTACTACACGACAGCTAAACTAAATTATGACATTCATGATAATCTCAATAGCAATATTCAATTCACACTCGAAACAGAGATAGAGAAACAAATAAATTTCTTAGACCTGACCATTACACACAATCAGAATAAATTCAAGTTCAATGTTTTCAGAAAACCTAGCTATACAGACATTACCATTTCAAGCGATTCTTTCCATCCAGACAGTCATGAATTAGCAGCCTACAATTCAAAGTTGCACAGAGCATTCTCACTGCCTTTCTATGCTAACAATCTAGCTAGGGATATTGATATAATTACACAGATAGGTCATAATAATGGTTTCAACGCAGATACTATCCATAAATTAGTCAGAAAACAAATCCGTAAATTCACTTACAGATTAATATACCCCCAAGTCAAACAACCAGAAATCAAGAAATGGGTAATATTTTGGAAAAAGAACAGAGACAATTGCGGGTTTCTTCAGAAAAAACAATGTGGAAGTGGCATTCAGACCACATGCCAGGTTATCTGATTTCCTGATGTGATAAGGTGGACAAGTTGGAGAAATCTGGAGTCTATAAGCTTAAGTGTCCGGAGTGTAATAGTGTTTATGTGGGACAATGTGGTCGAAATTTCCAAAAACAGTATGCTGAACATGAAAGGTCCTTCAGACTAGGAAAAAATGATTTGACGTTTTCAAACCATTCCTTGGCATGCAACCACAAGTTCCTGAATCAAAGCGATACGGAAATTTTGCACTATGCAAGGAAGGGTTACAAACTCAATCATTTAGAATCCTTGGAAATTCACAAGCATAAACATTGCGGGTGCAACCTGTTAAATGATCAAATCGATTTAATTTACTCACTGGTTTTCAAATTAGCATATCCGCATTGTAAATTCAGGTACTCAATCAAGCCAAATACCTCGTCGGTCGGTAGCCAAGCGGTTCGGCGTGGGTGCTTTGTTCACTCACTCGAATTAACTGCCGTGTCGGTCGGTGGTTCAAGCCCTAGTCTGAATGATCGATCTTCACTTGCTATCGTCCAACCCGTGTTAGGAATCACACGTTAAAAGGTAAATATTTCAATATATGGAAATTAAAAAATATATTGTGCATACTCCATACAGAACATAGTTTGTTGATTGGCTTTCAAGTGGAATCTCTAGCTCCAAATGAAGTAGAAAATTAGAATTATATGCAGAATGATTTGTGTCAGGATTAATATATTTGTAAACGAAAACATTTTCATCAGATTAGGTAATCTTGTTATTGGACTCAAAATTTGAGTGTACTTTAAAAAATATTTTCCTCACCATGAAAAGCATTTCCCTTTGTGACCAGATAAAACTGTTTCCAAACAAGTTAGTAGAAATGTTTTGATACCAATAATTCCAGCTGTTCAAAATTCATTTTTAATAACTGAATCATCTAGTTTTGAGATAAGTTATAATTTTTTTCTGCTTGTTAAAGGAAGCCATACATTTATTCGCCTAGACCAAATTTCTTGAATAAAACCCTACATATTATTCAATGCAAATTGTACCAAAAATAAATCTTCAAAAATCCTATATCAAAAATGACTAAATCTAAATACTGAACAAAATATGCCCTTTTCAAATTTTTTCAAACTTATAGTTTAGCACCGTAACGAGCGTTACACAAAAAGTAGTCCTCAGTACTGTATGAATATCTAGATCTGAGTACTGAATCTTGGCCGTGGAAGTTCACCGAAAACAGCATCACCATGAACACTTTGAGCAAGAGCTTTTATACTAGCTGCTATGTCCACTTTGTCAAGTTCAGGCTGTAAAAAATATAAGAAAAAATATTTGAATTGCAAAAATTTTATACATATATCCGCGCACCATAAGAATACAAAACATAATGAAGATAAAAATTTTTCCATCGCTATAATTGAATCAGTAGTTGAGAAACCCCACTTATCCGGAAACTCAATTTTGAGGCTGGAACAGGTGAGGTAAGTAGATCTGCATTAAATTATACAAAATAACCAAAAAATTAAAAATTAGGTTTTTGGAGAGGGGTTTCTTGAGTGACCGATTCAATTACAGTAATAAGTTCTTAGTTACTTTTTTTTGTATAGCTATGGTTTTACTCTGACTTACACAACAGAATAACCATTCCATTAAAACTATCTTTCAATAAAAATATATCTTTTGTTTCACTCACATAATCATCCAAATCATCAGATGAAGTAGTTCTTGCTTGAGACATAAATGCTGGAATATTCATGGGCAACGATTTGGCTATGCTACGTCTAGGAATTCTTTGGCGATTAATTGTCACACTTTCTCTCGATTCTGAAAATTAAAAATATATATGTTGTTGCAAAAGTATGTGCAGAAATAACTTGTAACGAGGTTTTAAAAAATTGGAAATCAATATTGTTCTTGTTGTCCCATATATAGTACAATAAGCCTTGTCTCAGTAATGTTATTCCTGAGACAATTTTTACAATGGCTAATAATAAAGTAATATTCAATTATTTTTGAAAATATTCATATATAATATTTTTCACACAATATTTCAATTATAAGATTCATCACTATACGCCACACATTTTCTTCTTTGCATCACTACTTTTTGAAACAGTACTCATACGCATCCATGTTTATAGCCATTTGAATTTTTCTTCAATACTTGAGAAAACCTTGCCTCAAAAATACTGTAATTTTCGAAAAATGTTTTCAATAAGGTTAAATAATTCGCTTCGCTTCCTCAGGTTGTTGGCCCCGAACAACAAATATCTAACTCACTTCAAGTTAGCGAGTCGCGATAATAATGATTTAATTTTTTTATGTGCATGACCTTACTCTAATTCGAGTTGATAACGGAAATCTATATAGGTTGCTTATTTTCTTTAGGCTGAACAAGGTTCTTGCTATGGCCACTTTTGCCACTGATCGTTGATAAAGCCACACTGCATCAGTTTTTTTTTTTAATTTATTGAAACTGTCTTCCCATCGTACTGTATTTTCATTCTATTGCTAATAAGTTGTAACATGGGCCTGGAAAATTATTTAGATCACAAACAGACTGTCCATAAGGAAACCTCTTTGGCTTTTCTTAATCAATACTCCTTCATCAACATTTTTAGAACTCTCCCCCTTTTTTTTTCTATATATAAATTTAATAGCTTAATCAAATCTACTGCAAGTGAACATAGCTTTAAAAAAACTTAAAAAAAGGACAGATATTTGTAAATTATGTGAAATAAAATAACAATACTTTTTAATACTCTAAAACCTCTAATTTTAATACGATTTCAAATTTTAGTTTCAAATAAATGTTCGAAAGTACAAATTTCAATTGTGAGTTCTAAGCAGTAGTTGATAAAATAGATAAATTAATAATTTGTTTCTTTCAAATGGAAATATAAATTACAGTGCAACAGTTTTTGTCCATTTATATTTGATGAAATTCATTAAAATTGAAGATCGCATTTCCTAAAAATTATCCTTTATATTGTTTCATTAGATTGAAGTTCTAGTCGTTCTATATTTTTTAATCCAAAGCACTTCTACAACAGTTTTAGTCTCTTGGTTGGACTAAGTAGTAGCTTAGGCATAAATAACTCGGGCCATTTTGAAGAATAGTCCATAACAACCATCGGGTATTTGTGGACGTTCACCTACGTATTAGAGCTAGCTATACAAGATTCTCTCTCCTCTAGTCTAGCCTATCATGGCTACTTAAACCCCACTTGCTCCCAAATGGAAGTTGTTCTCTTGACGATGAAAAAAATTACATCCTTCCACCACGCAAGGTATTCTGAAAAGGCTGCCAGCACCTCCGTGGTTCTTATATTCTAGTGCCAGATCTAAAAGTTACAGATTGCAAGTTTCTAAAACAACCGCGAAATCTGTTACATCACAGTTTTAGAGTTGTGAAACCATTGTGGTGAGTGTTCATATTTTTCAAGTATGTCAAGAAGCTTTTTTCACATGATTCAGGACTTTCTCTTAGTTTCTCTCAAAGACAGTAAAGTATATGATCAGAAGATCTTATCTTCCTTTTACTGAGAGAATATACTGGCATGACAAGAAGTGCCCAAGTCGAGTTTGAATAGAAGACAATTTACTTATGATAGGAAATACTTCTTGAGATTACCTGTAGAATCGAAAGTTATTTGCCATATCTGCCACCATTAAACTATTTATGATAATACTAATGTTTAAAATTTACTTCTTTCCGACCATACTAAAATTAAAGATTACATTTGTGTAGAGGTCAGTGATAGTCACATAGGCAAAATAGAGTATCTTGTAAAATGAATCAATTCATCAATTCGGAAAATATATGTTTCATTTGGAAAAACTTTTTCAGGAAGTTTATTTCACTTAAACGCAGTTCTCGAAATGAAAGACTTCTTAAACAGTGAAGTTCGAGCTGTACTGAGTTGAACCTTAAAAGGTTGAGCAGCCATAGTCCGGCTGGATGGAATCCAGCAGCTACAGGGTATGTTTGGGAGCGGAGCTCCATGCATGAGAAGAAGGCCTGATCTTAGCTTTATAAAGCATCGAAAGTTGCTGAGCTAGTTCGGAACAGTGTTCCAAGCTATTGAGAAGCAGCCTTTGCAATTCCAGCGACATGATTGTGCCAAGACATATTGGTGTCCATTTTAACCCTCAACAAATTTATTGAAACAGAAAGCAAAATTGTCTGATGTGACATTATAATATCTGGTTTGGAGCCATTTATCTTTTTGAGGAAAACCAATGTCTGGGTTTTTGTGACATTGAATTGAACCTGGTTACTTTCACCCCAATTCGATATTACTTCTAGATTCTCATTAAGATATGCAACCTCGACACGTGTTTCGATCACCAAGTGATCATCTTCAAAGAGGAAGATTAAAACTAAGAACTAGTACGAGCTAATCCTATTTATGCTATAAAGGTAACTCATACAGGTAAACCATCCAGGCGTACCAACCATCCAGGCGTCCCAACCATACAGGTATACCAACCTAAATTGATTTTACAATTTTGCCTTATCTATTATTTTACAATATATGTTTATATAANTTGCGGTATTTCCCATCTCTAATACAAATAGAGGTCAAATGAGAGAGATATCTACTTCTAGTAATGCCATAACACAGATTAGATACTGTGGCCATACTTACAATTCGTGGGCTTTGGTATATGAATACTAGCAACAGAATTGTCTGAACTTTGAATCGATACCGATTAAATTTTGAAAGGGTATTTTCTGTGCCGGGCTTCGTACAGAGAACATGTACTAGTGATTCAAATAAAAGTTTTGAGGGGTACATCTACAGAAACTTCTGTAGATGGCGTCCAAATAAGAGCTTTTAAATTGGTAACCCTTTTCAGCACTAATAATTGAATTTCTATGAAAAAACTCAAGAACCGACCTGCGCCCTTGCTTCCGCAAATCAAGAGCTAGTCATTCCAACTGGGCCCAAGTTCTGGCAAGTACCACTTTCTTGCTCAAGATCCGAGAATACCTACCACAGAGAAGCGAGAAAACGACCCTTTGTCGTAGACGCATGCGTCGACTTGGTTGTCTCACGTCATTCTCGGGCTTAGTTGTCTCCATTATTCTGTGAGCACTGAGCAAACATGATGAGATAGGTAGTTAGTTACAAAAGGTACCTACCTAACTCGGTATACATTAAAATTATGCTATTTTAAGCAAGAGTTTTCAGGAAATAATTAGTTTTGAAGAATCCATCGTGAGAGAAACAGTAGAAAATTCAATATTTAAGGCACTTGAAATTAAAATTAAAACAATGCTCGAACAGGACAAGCGATGTGTGATATATAGATGAGATGACTTTAAAATCCATTCTTTTTTCTGATACAGGATGTAATGAAATTATTGGTTTCATAGATATTGGAGAGGCAAGTAAGAGGAATTCTATATGTAGAAATGTTCTCGTTATTAGGGCTAGAGGACTTTATTCTCCCTGGAAACAACCGATTGCTTTTTTTTCATTGAATCACAGTTACCAGCAAAAAATCTACGTGATATTTTGGATAAGTGCATTTCTAAATTATCCACTATAGGTTTACATGTTGATAGCATTGTGAGTGACATGAGCTCTAACTTTTATGAATTGTCAAAGTTATTAGGGGTCACTTCAGAAGAAATGGAAAAATATTCTTACCAGCTGTCGTTTCTCAGAAGTTTTCATTGAAAACTGCTCAGTATGTTTGAAAGACGCTGTTGAGGATTCCATCACTTCGGAAGCTGCCATGGGTTTTTTTGTACATGCAGGTTTTGCTTGGTCCGTTAACGTTTGTACTAAACTGAAATAAAAGATGTAATAGTTGTGTAATTTTATTACTATCAGAGAAGAAGGTTTAATATTTCTTACTTAGAATGAACAATAAAACCATTGAACACTTTTCTATAGTTTTCTTTATTAGGTTTTTTCTAGTTAAATTGTCTACGATTTCTCATATTCAGATATCAGCAAGCAACGAAATCAAGTCAAATATTTTTGTTTAGAGGTAAAATTTTCAATACAATATTTTTTAACGTTTGTTTGAAGGTGGTTGACAATGTTTCGTTGTATTTCATGTTCGTACTTCCATTGTCTAATATAATATAAATTGATTTGATTTTTCATTTTTAAATTAGGGCCCTTTAGGCAACCGACTAGAAGGTGAACCCTATCAAGATTTGTCAAATTTGGATTCAAATGAACCATACTCTTATAAACAGCATGAAANATGAATAGGGAGTCATGGTTCCAAACAGTATATCACAAATGTTATTTTTTAGTTAATCTTTTTATTTTTTTACCGATTCTTTGAGGGATTTCAAATCAATTAATATTATATTAGACAATGGAAGTCCAAACTGATGAAATACAATATTTTTTGTTCTACTATAGAGGTTTTCCCAGGAAAGATATTCAACAATACAATTTACTGTTATCAAATTATATATTCTCAAAGATTTTTTTCTATGATACATCATTGCATTGGCAATTTGATTCTCTATGTAACATAGTTTCACTTTTGGAAATCAATTCTGCCATTCCTCAGTAAGTAGCAGTTTTATTATTAATTTCAGGAATCTGCAAACAAACGATAATGTAATTTCAAGAAAAAATAATACAAAATACAAAAAATATCTGTTCTATTTATTGAACCGATTTTCAATTGTGTAAAAAGAAAAAAACAATATTCTGAATATGCTTCTCTGATAATTTAGGTAATGCGTCTACTTGGAAAAAGATGAAACTGAAAGATTGAATTAGAACAATAAACAGTAAGTAGATTGAGAGTATCTGTACTGGAAAATACCACTTTGGTGACTAATTCGAGCAACATACTGAAAGTCTGTCAAACAACACAATCTTAGATTTTAAAGAACGAGTAATTCTTCAGTCAAATCACCTCTTCAACTCTGAAAACACAAAATTCAATCAAAACTATGTGTTTTGAAATCATTAGTGCAAAAACATATTGAAAGTTTCATTTGAAAATATGTTTAGTGGATTAAAACAAATTGTTTTGAAAAGTCACAAACCTTTCCTAATATAAAAAATGGATTAAGTACTAACAAACTATATATAAATGAGCACTTCACTCAACAACACTTAACGTTAACTGCCGCTGGAAAGATAAACAGTACAATGAGCTGATATGTTTTTTGCAGTTAAAAGCAATAATTTTATTTATAAGTTCAGATAACGAGTCTCTCTCTCTCATTCTCAAATGTAACAAAACAAAACGATAAATTTAATTAGCCAATCTTAATCTTCACAGATTCTAGTCTAGGTGTTATTATTGTGCAGGTCAGCTCTGCTTATTAGGGAAGGAATTGACTTGTCCAAGCACTTTTAATTGAAACTAATGAAACTTTAGATAATAGCCATGAATAACATTTGAAAACACTGGAAAATTTCTGACCTAACTTCAAAACAAATATTTATATCAATATTGGTCTTATGATTCTCACAGTCCATCATTAGTATTTTTCATTGATTTTTCAGTTCCAAACTTGATAAACGACCCATTTGAAATTATAAACATGAACAATATTTTTGCACAATACCTAAGAAATTTGGAATATCAACACCATCATTGAACATAGCATATTAAAACTAGCTTCTGTAATGTTACCCAACATTGAGTTCTCAATATTAGCAACTTTTTCTTTCAAATTTATGACCTTGTTTACCCCATTAAGTGTTTCAATAATTATTAGTCACTCCACAAATTGGTATTTTCATTCACATTATAATCATTTTATATTATAATCAAAAGGGATATGGATTTTAATCTAGGTATCATAGATTCATGTCTTTCTGATCACAGAGCACAAATAATAACTGTAAATCATCCTGTACCTGTCAGTAGTAATATTTTTTTTATTTTTGACTAGCGATCCGCCTAGTCTCCGCACAGGTGCAATGCTGATATGAAATAATAATAATATAATATATTACAGGGTATGCTTTACATT